GCTCCTCCGCTGAGAATCAGTCAGGACATCGGTGGAGTTCTTCAGCAAGGTCTGGCCACTTTGTCAAGAATAATAAAGTAACTCACAATGACGCAGCTTCCAAAGACATGCGGGCTCATTGGGAGGCCAGCCACACACTCAAGTTTCGTCTGCTCAGAGCTGTATCCACACATACATTTCTACCTTAGCTGAATACTTGAGGAGATAGTTCTGGGGGAGAAAAACAGGAGTCCTAAGGCTGAGGAAATGGCACATTCAGCCTGGAGAGCAAATGTCTGGAGGCAGTCCAGAGTTTCCTGAATGATTAATTAGCAGGACAGAAGAGCATCTATAGGACTTGCTCCTGGGTATTTGTCAAGCTCAGGGAAGAGGCTGGGGGAAGGAGATCCAGTCAAGGATTTCTCAGATGCTGAGATGTCAGGAAGGTCCCGCGGGACTGGAGGAAATCAAGACACAGTAGAAAAAGAGAAAGAACTCTCCACCGAGACAGTTCCACCTTGCCGAATATCATTACTGTCACATTCCTCTCGCTAGTTAGCACCTATTCACACTAGGCGGAAGACGGGGGCCGAGGGAATTGCAAGAAGGAAGCTATGGTCTCTCTGCTGGGACATGAAGTGGCGAGGCGCTCAGAGCAGGAGATGCTGCTACCCACAGCCATTAGCACCACTAGCTGTCCCCAGCACCCTCCAGAAAGCAGTCCGACCTGTGCAGAGGTGTCTACCTTAACGGGAGGAGTTGCCATCCCCTATTAATGGCCTTTTATTTCCTTGAAATAAACAGCACTGCTTCAAATTGGTGAAGCCCTTGTTCATGCATTCTGTATTATCTGACCCCCCCCAACCAACCTCACCCCCATTAAAATTGGCAGTCGCTTCAGAGCACAGGGCATGTGTTCCTTTTCCACACCTGGGTCCTTGGCATCAGAACAGTGCCTGGCACCTTGATGGCCCTCCATGGAAGAACATGACACGAATGAATCCAAGGAGTGCTTATAGGAACCGAGCAGAACTTTTCCAGGCCTAGCAAGGATTGCCTCTAACACGCAGACTTGTTTTCTACATCGGAATGTAGGCAGGTGCATAAAGATGCATGCTTCATGAACGGGTTCTTCTGGAGAAAGAAAGCTCTTAAAAAGTGCCCAAAGCCATCAGCCTGGTGGCCGGATGCCGTACAGGGGAACGCGGTGAAATGGTAATAGGTCATCTTGGGGGAGTAGAGGAAGAGAGAGGAAGCGAGTGGATACTGCCTGAGCCAGTCACTGAAAATGCAGGAAGCTTTAGCCCAGAGTATAGGGGAGCAGCAAGGAAGACTTATGTCAAAGGCCCCGGAGAGTTTAGGAAGAAAATTATTTTCCTTGAGCAGATTCACCGCTGAGAGCTGTGTTGGGACAAGATAGCGCTGCTGACAGGAGCTTCAATCAGAGGTAAGCTTGGCTTATAGACTGCCACTGTGGGTAGAAGAACCTCTGCCATGGCTTTTGGGGGGGGGTGCAAGATGATGAGATGGTGAGATCCCAGGACACAAAGACCACTGATGCACTTCAGCAACTGTCTGAACACTCAGAACTGAAGCCCTCTGCTCCCTGATCTTATCTGGGAAGTGGCTACACCACAGCCATTGCTCCCTGGGTTGTGAAAACAACCTGCATGGATGGCCTATCAGCGGGGTACCACCTGCTCCTGGGGCTGGTCAGGTGGGGTAGCTCCTCACCCCCGGCCCCGCCTCTGGGGGGGCCCCACCGTGTGTGTGTGTGTGTGTGTGTGTGTGTGTGTGGTGCGGGGCGCTGCTTCCCTTGGCCATCTCTGAGTTTCCGTTCTCCTCTGTCAACTGGTGAGAATATCAACATTTTACAGTCATTGTGAGGATCGGGTGAGATAATATAACAAGTGCTTAGTGCCCTATGCCTGACTGCAAGGCTCATGTCACGGGCCTAAGGAAGACTAAGCACAACTTACTGGCTTTATTTATGTATTTGTTAAAAGATTTTATTTATCTATTTATTTATTTGAGAGAAAGAGAGAGGGAGCAAGGGAGGAACAGAAGGAGAGGGACAAGCAGACTCCTGATGAGTGTGGAGCCTCACGTGGGGCTCTATCCCAGGACTCAGAGATCATGACCTGAGCCAAAATCAAGAGTTGGTACCTTAAGCAATTAAGCTCAAGCTTGGGGCCCCAACTTCCTGGCTTTAAATTCTTATGTTCCATAACTGGAATTCACCCATGGCTGGTTAGCGTGTAAAGCTGGTGAGCGTGGAAAACTACCTGTCAGTATCTATAGAAGTCGAATATATCCGCATCCTATGAGCCCGCAATTCTACTTCTAGGACTATTCAGAAAAGAAGTGAATGTCCACCAGCACGCATGCACACAAAGGTTAACAGCTGTGTTGTTCACAATAGCCCCAGACCAGAAACAACCCAAATGTCCTTCAATTGAATGGTTACAGTCACATAATGGGATACACATAACAATGAAAATGAGCAAATCTTGGCAACTCACAACAGCACAGATGAGTCTCACCTGCCCCATGTAGAACAAAAGAAGCCAGGCACAAAAGAGCACATACCGTTTGATTCCATTTACAAACGTCTAAAAAATAAACACAACTGACCTAGAATCTAGCTAGCTGTCAGAAGAGTGGTTAGGTTTGCAGAGGTGGACAGTGACTGGCACATCCCAGTCACCACGGTGAGGGGCATAAGGGAGATTTCTGGGGTACGGAAAATGTTCTGTGTCTTCACATGGATGACGGTTACATGGGTGTGTCGCCTTATAAAGATTCACTGCACTTATGACCGATGTGGGCGTTTTTCTGAATGTACATTCTACGTGGTAGATAGCATGATTGCCCTTAATCCTTTGCTGTCTCTCCACTGGGGACAGTGTGTACTTCCTTGCCCTCTTGATGTTGGGCTTGTCCATGTGACCTGCTTGGGCCAAGAGGAGGTTAGCTGGCAGGATATGAGCAGAGACATGAAATGGGTTCAGATAGTTTGGTTTTGCCCTCTTGGGTTTCTACTGCAGTCATGAGGAGATATGCCTCAGAGATGCTGCTTTTCTAGCCTGATTCCCAAAATAATATACATGGAACAGCTTGAACTACACGAGGAGCCTGGTGTTGAAAGTCAGGCCTAGCCACTCAACTTGCAACTGACTGTGAGGGGAAAAACAAAAAATGACTGTTTGAAGCCACTGAATGCTGGTGTGCTTTGGTATGCAGCATTACTGTGGCCATAAAAGACTAATACCTTATTCTTCAGTAAAGAGTCCATTCACCTCTCTATGCTCCATCTTTATAATAGTCGCCTGTTTCAAGTTCAAGTCATTGGCACCCATCTCCAGCACTTACATGAACGACTCATGTCATAAGTCAAATGAATCGGTTTCCTTTTCTATAAATTGGGGATGATGCTTACTTTACATTGCTCTTGGGAGGATTTAATGCCCCAGCAGACCTAAAAGCACTTTGTAAACCGCAGAGCACAATTTTAAAGGGCTGGATGCTGGGGGTGGGGGGGCAGGAAGCCAGTGTATGGATCATGCCACACACCAGGCAAAGCTGCTTCCTGCCCACCAGGACCCAGCCTGACTCAAAAGGTGAGGGCACACGCGTGGGAAGGAGGCTCCGGAACAAATGTCACGCCTGCACTAAAGCAGTCACCCAGCTTTTGAGCATAGTTCTGTGGGGCCTACCCTTGGGGGGGAGGCAATGATGCTTAGGTCTCTAGAAGGCCAGCTCACGCACAGGCCGAGTAGGTGATCCAGGACCCTCAGAGGGCCACCCTCAAGTTCAAGTCTATCCCTTCCCCTCCATGTCTTTCTTCTGAGTCTAAAGAGCTACCATCAGTGCTTCATTCCATCCTGTTGGGTGCTGTGTGCCTAACCATCCCCTGCTAATCCCTACTGCCTGTCTTACAACACTTCTCAGTTTACACAGAGCAGGCCCATCTGTTCTCTCATTGTGCTATTATTTCCATTGTGTAGATAAGGAACCTGAGACTCTGAAAGATTAAGTGGTTCCTGCCAGGCCACTTAGTTAACAAGCATTAAAGCTGAATTGGCAACAGGTTTTCTAACCAAGGGTTAGGGAGGTAACTCACTCAAGAATTCCATCATTAAAGAACCAGTTGTAGAGTCAGGAAACAGGTGGCCTTGGCCTGAGGGGACAGGACCAGTAAATTTTGACAGGGGAGAGTGGGGGGGGGTAAGTTTGGAAAATCAGCATCAGGTAAGCAGTGGACTTTGAGGAGGGTGGGGCAGGGGCAGGTGAGGAGGTGGGGGAGGAAGGAAGAGGAAGGAGGCTGACCCCTGGTGGGCCTACTAAGGGCAGTCTTTCCAGTAGGAGGAGCTAGAGCCAGCAGGGGGAGCACCTCCCCACAACAGCTCTGGGAGAAAGGAAAGACTCCAAAGGAGGTCCCCTGGCACTGTGATGCCACAGCCCTGCCTCTTCTTCAACACTAACAGTCTGAGGGTGACGCTGCCACCACATTCTGCAATGACAGGCCCCCCCCGCCCCACCACCACCGTGGGGATGCTCCCACTGCCTGCCTCGGGGGAGGGTGTGAGGTAAAAACGCCCGGCCTGTCTCCTACCACACCTGTCTTCTCTCTCCTTCCCTGTCAACCCTGGGCCCTGCCCACTGCCTGGCCCCAAACTGGTTCCTGTGCCCAGTACCATCCTCAGTGTCAAGATGGTGAGAGCTGTGCTGAAGGGATCCTCGAACAAAGCTGTATTTAAGCAAACACAGGCTTCCTTTAGAGTGCAGACAGCAAGGGCCCATCTCTGCTGATTCAACAAAACAACCCTCGAGGGAGGAATGGGAATGGGGTGGAGTCCTGCCTTTGCAACAGGTTTCCCATGGGTGGAGTAGAAGACTCTCCATTGGCATGGGGAGCCGTCACCGCTCCTTCCCTGGGCACCATCTCAGCGTGGCCCTGTTCTGAAGCAAGCTTTTCCCCCTTTCTCCAGAACGAAGTGGCTTCTGTGGCTGTGACCCACCTCCGTGGTCCGAAGGCCATTCTGTTTCTGGGTCAGAGGGCCGGAGTTGAGGCTCTGGGGATTCGGGCACTGGGTCCCACAGCTCATCTTCTTATCTGGGTTGGAGATTCCACCTGGGGCTGTAGAACGGGGCACACCATTGGAGGACAGTCCATCTTCCAGCACACCTTGGGGAGAGAAGCAGAGGATGGCACGGGAGTCTTGCACATGACAGCTGCTGCAAACAATCCCCAAGCGTGTGGGGAAAAAGCCACAAAGAAGAAATAAGTCACCATAATCCCACCATGCGAAATTACCCTTTTCTAAAAGAACATGTGTGTGGGGGTTTTAAATATATATATATTTATGTTTATATTTATACATACATATATATACATATGTATAGGCTCCACGCCCAGTGTGGAGCCTGATGTGGGGCTTGAACTCATGACCCTGAGATCAAGAGTCAGACACTTAACTGACTGAGCCACCCAGGTGCCCCTTTGTGTGTATTTTTTTTTTTAACGAAAATGAGACTTTAAAATAATTTTGTAACCTGAAACTTTTACTAACATCAATGACATTTTTCCATGCAATTCAATATTCTGCCTTGTTAGTGTTCACACAGTAAGTTTGCCATTGTACGGATGTGTCACCATTTATTTATAATTTTTTTAAAGTAAGCTCTATGCCCAATGTGGGGCTTGAACTCATGACCCCAAGATCAAGAATTGGATGCTCTACCAAGTGAGCCAGGGAGGCACCCGTGTCACCATTTATTTAATCCCCTCTAGTTGGTTATTTGTTTTCACAATGTCACTGTGGTTGAAACCCCTTAGGCTTTAAGCTTTCTTCTTCTTTTTTTTTTTTTAAGATTTATTTATTTGAGAGGGAAAGAGAGAGCAGGAGGAGGGGCAGGGGGAAAGGGAGTGAGAGAATCTCAAACAGACCCCCCGATGAGCTTGGAGCCTGATGCGGGGCTCAATCTCACGACCCATGAGATCACCACCTGAGCTGAAATCAAGAGTTTGATGTCAACGGACTGAGCCACCCAGGCGCCCCTTAAAGCTTTATTCTTAATTATCTCCTTAGGATAAATTCCTACAAGTGGAGTTACTGGTTTGAAGGTTATACAGTTTTTTTACACCATTCCATCTGCAGGTGTTGGACTGAGCATATGCTCCTTCCATAACAAATGCCAAGAAATGATAGAATGAGGTTTAAATAAATAACCTCACTGAAAAGCAAGAGGGTTACATCAAGGAATACTTGGTTGAAGAGTACCTGACTGAACAGAGCAAAGGCAGCCCAGGAAGCATGAGGGGGACGAGCAGGTGGGAGACCAGAAGCGGGCAGAAGTTCTGCAGTAGCCACAGGGAGGCCAGGGGCAACCAGGTGGGCTGGTCCTTCTACTCCTCCAGCAGCTGAGGCCAGCCAGCAGTCACAGAGCGGTCTGTGAGGTGGGATGTTGTGATAGAACAAGAAATACATATGTGGTCTTTCCCTCCAGTTCCTGGCATAGATCTCCTAAAACCCTGGTAATTACCTGAGTGACAGGGTGATAGGAGCATCTTTTGTTATACATTTGGTCTTTGCTCCAGTTCATGACACAGAGCTCCTAAAGTCCTTGGAATTTTGTGAGTGACAGGAGAGACAGGAGTGTATTTATTCTAATGAGGCAACTCTTGGAGGTCCCCTTGATAGCTTCAGGATAGGGGCCGGTTGCCAGAAAGACCTAATCTTGACTAAGAGCTTGGAACTTTCAGCCCCACCTCCCAAACTCTGGGGCTGGAAATTGAGTCATTCGATTATGCCTACATGATGAAATTTCCAATTTAAAAAACCCTTAAATAACAACATTGGGGGAGCATCCAGGTTGGTAAAAGCATCCATGTGCCAAGAGGGTGACAAACCCCAACTCCACAGGAACAGAATGCACTTACGAATCTTCTAGACCACGCCCTATGTACCTCTTCACCTGGCTATTCATTTGTATCCTTTACAATATCCTTTACAATAAACTGGCAAACATAAGTAAAGTGTCCCTGAGTTCTGTGAGCCATGCTAGCAAATTATTGAACCTGAGGAGGGGATATAAGAACTCCAACTTACAGCTGACTGGTCACATGTACAGGTGGTGACCTAGGACTTGGGATTGGCGTCTGAAGTGGGAGGCAATCTTGCGGGACTGAGCCCTTCACCTGTGGGGGCTGTGCTGACTCCAGGTAGTTGGTGTCAGAATTGAGCTGAATTGTAGGACACCTAGTCAGTGTCCAGAGAGTTGGAGAACTGGTTGATTTGGTGGGAAAAAAATCCCACACATCTGGTGTCAGAAGTGTTGTAAGTAGAAACAGCACAGAGAGGGGCCTGGCGCAGAGAGAAGGGCAGTACTCTTAAGGGCTGGTGACCCCTGAGAGAAAGAAAAAAAGAAGATCCACACCATGAGGGCTGACTCTCTGGAAATAGTGCCAAGAGTTAGGCCAATAGTTTCCATCCCTGCCTTCCAAGTGGGCTTCTCAAAAGAAGAAGGCGCAGCTGACATTCTACATGAAATTTCAGTTACAGAAATTAGCACAAAACAAGAATAAACAAACATTTGGAGAAGGCCAATACCATAGAAGAGAGACAGCAAACTTTATGGTGGAGACCCTAGGAAATGTAGCTAATAAGGTATGCAGCAGAGAATCTTAAATAAGTGTAGTTAATCTGCCCAGAAAAATGAGGGAAGATAAGGTAAGCACAAAACAAAGACAAGAGTGACTAAAGATATTTGAAATAATAATTTTAACTGTTGAAATGAATTTTTAAAAACTCAGTAGGGAAGCTGAATAGCAGGACAAACATAAAAAGCAAGTGAATGAGCTGCCCTAGCGATTCTCCTGGAAGGAGCAAGTGAAGATATGAAAAACATGTTGGGAACACAGGATCAAAATCCAGACATTACAACCTCAATCGAAGATTGGTTCCAGAAGGAGAGAGTAGAGAAAAATGAAGGGAAGCGTTATTCACAGAAATAATAGTATTTCTCAGAACTGAATGAAGAAAGATGTGAAACCCCAAACTGAAATAACCTACCAAAAACTTGACAAGACAAATGAAAAGAAAAGCCAACCTAGATAGAGCTTAGTGAAAATTCAAACCCTGTCAATAACAAGAAAAGCTTCAGAAGAGGAAAACAAAAACAAAAACAAAAAGCGGAATGAGATTGACATTAGACTTTTTATCAACAACCAATGGATGTAAGAAAATATAGAACAATGACTTCAAGATTTCAAAGGATAGGCACATTGTAAAGTCTTTTGCAATACTTTGCCAGATTTACCTCTATAAATCTCCAATTACCCTACTGCCCTCTGCCAACAGTATATGAAATGGCAATATTCTCCAAACCTGCACAAACCCTGAATATTTTCTTTTTTGTTTCTCATCTTTGCCAATTTAAGAGGCAAAATAAAGTATCTCACTGCTTGGATTTACACTGCTTGATTTACTAGAGATACCATACTATTTATGTGCCTATTGGCTAATTGTGTGGGGCTTTTTTAAAACTGTCAAGTCATTTGCCTATCTTTCTTTTGGGGTGTTAGCCTGCATTTGCTTTTAATCAAACTTAAGGAAAACAAACAAAATCCTTTCCCAGAGTGTTGAGAAATTATTTGCCATGAGGCACGCATCAGAAGCACAGCATGTTTGATGTACAAAGAGAGGGAGGGTTGACTGACTAGGCAGAGCTAGTGAGGCCACAATCCCAGCACAGCTGAGGAAGCAGTGATCCAAAGAACACACACGTCCACAGGGCACCCACCTGTTGTGCAAAATGCTAAGAGGCTCTCAACTGTGGCAATGGGATAGAAATCAGAATTCAACATTGAAAATAGAAAATGGAGGGTCTGGAGTTTCCTGACAGGCAGGCTGTAGTACGTTGGGGCACTGTGGACGTATTCCAGATGCACAGAGACATGGATTCTTTCAGCTTGGCTTGCCCCACATCTTTGGGGCCCCCTTTCTCCATCAGCTGGCAGCCTACCCGCTGTCTCTTCTCATCCCGCCTCCATCCTACAGCTAAAGGGCCTCAAATGCATGTGTATAGACACCCCAGCACACATATTCAATCTCCATCTCTAGCTGCCCCGTGGCCCAGGGGAGTGCTAACCTGGAGAATGAATCAGGAAAAGAGGCCCATGAAAAACCCGGAAGCAGGCTTGGCATGATCTGGGCTGGTAATTCAAGGGTCCCAGCACCCACAGAAGAGTCTGGAACAGAGCTTCTCAGTGTGATCCAGGGACCAAACTGTTGTTACTGGTCTGCTGTAGCTTAAGGATAAAAACTGAATGCAAGCATTTAGAAATTTCTATGGCACTTGACATTACTGGAACATCTGAGGGTGAACTTCGGTGACTGAACGTCTCTGATTTAATAGAAGATAGACCAGTTCCAGGGCTGTCCAACTCACAGAGTGAGTCCCAAGTGGCGTGAGCTGTGCATTAGCCATGCACAGTGTAAGACCACACATTTGTCTGTGATGGACTGAGAACAAAAGCAACTGATCCTGAAGGAGGGCTGGAGACTTTGTCAGGTATGTCCCCTTGCCCTGTAGGGAGGAGTGGAACCAAGTGGGGTGGGGGCAGAAAAGGCAACGCAAGACCAAGGCAGAAGCTCCACCTACCTTAGTCTAGGGTAGAACTGCCTTTAGCTCTTGGGGTTACTGAGTGGGACTCACAGCTAGCCAGTACTACCTTGACTGTTTAGCACAGTGGGCCATAAGAATGTTACCATTTTCTATGCTGCTCATGACTTGGTATCCGGGTTAAGGGTAGGTAAGAGGCACTACTAAGCTATCCACTGAAGGCCCCATGGTGCTTCCAGCCTGGGTTGGGATGTCCACCCCCGTATCTTACTCTAAGACATTCAACACATGTATCTGACCCCAATCCTCCCCATGCCCATGGCCAGCTCCCCTCCCCGCCAATGCAACCCAGTTGCTAACCCAGGATGGGGAAGGCAAGGCAGAAAAAGGAGGCTGGGGACACAGGTGCCAAGAGCAGGCTGTGGAGAACACATCCCAGGGAGGCAGACAGGCAACAGAAGTGGAACCGAGCAAGCCTCTGGCAAATGCTCCATTGTTCCATAGGATTTCACTTCCAAACCACAAAATAAAAGAAAAAATTATTAAGAATTTCAAGAATGT